AGATTCAATGCCATCCTTTGAAATAATTTCTTCTGGGGGAGGGGCAGGTGTCCACTTAGTAGTTGGGATTGGGGCGGCCCCCCAGACCTCTCCACTGTTTCCCTAGAGGTCTACTGTCTTATAGGATTGTAAGGAAGCCCTGGTGGCATGAGTCAGAATTAACTCAATGGCAGTGAGTTGGTTTTGTTTAGAGTCACTAGGACTTGGAATTGGCTCAAAGCTATCGGTTTGGTTTTGGGTTGGTGGAATCAATCAAGCTGCTATTGTAATTTTTTTTGGTGTTGGAAACCGAAGCATAGGACAGGCAAACATTTACAACTTGTGCTTTCTTTTCAATTATAATGACATTAAAGTGGATTCTTGTATTCCTTTTGTTACATAATATAATGATTTTGTATATGTAAACCTTTATTTGTACATTTTGCTGTAATATTTTATTTTATTTGGCTTTAAAATACATAAGAGAATGATTCCATTGCAAGGTCTCATGAGTAGGAGATTGATGTCTCTGTTAAATGTGTACTTAAGTCACTCTCACTGCTATTGAGTCAATGTCAACTCATAGAGACCCTATAGGACAGCATAGAGCTGCCCCTGTGCGTTTCCTTGGCTAACTCTTTAAAGAAGTAGAAAACCTCATCTTTGTCCCATGGAAAGGATGGTGGTTTCCAACTGCTGAGGATTGCAGCCCAACACATAACCACTGTACCACCAGGGCTTCTAAATATGCTAGGCATGGAAAATAATCTTCCTTTTAATGTTGCTCCTTTTATTTCCTCTAGCATAATACTACAGAAAACGTAAGGATATCAGTTTCTGTGAAACTCATCTACCACATCTTTTAGTCTTAAGTATGGATTGTGGTAAGAGTTGTATGAGCCCCCAGTAAAATGATTTTTTTAAAAAAAGGAGCCTGCCATTGACTTAGCTTGATGGCATTTAGAGCCATCTTTCTTAGCTATGAGCTGTAGGTTTCACCTACTTTATTCGCACCAGTGATGGGACCACTAGGGATTCTTGTTAGTATAGATTAGTATAGATTCTAGAAAGGAACTGTCTACTGAATTTTCAGACAGCCCAAATTGACTTATTTTGTTTTTCTCTCTTCTCAGATGATGCACCAGATGATGCCTAGAGATAATCTCATTAAGGGTTACTATATAATATAATTAAATTTCTGAAATTTAATTTTCTAAGATTATTTTGACTTTTTTTCCTGTGTAACATAGTAATATGATGTGGTCTCATATCTTGGAGAAATCATTAAATTCTGTCTGGTACTCAGCTAGGGGTTATATTTGTGCTATTTGACAAAACTTGAGCTTGAAAATATTATATCAAGATTCCACTGAGCTTTGTTCTTCCTTCTTTGTAACCCATAATTTGAATTTGGTAATTTAAGGAGATTAGATTCTTTTCAGTTTACAAATGAAGTATTGATGGATGAAATATGAACATCTTTTAATGGATTTACAATGAGATATAAGGTAAACTGTCACAGGAATTTTAATGTATTCTTCATGACAAGCCCTCTTCTTTTAGAAAAGAATCATACATTAGAAACTAGCTTGCTAAGAATATAAACAGCAAACAAGGGTGAATTACATGCGTATTAGTTTAAAATTAATGTAGTGCACTTATGTATCTTCACTATAAGGGCGATCTTGCCAAGAGTCATGATTTGCCTTTGTGATTAATGATTGCCTTGTACTCCTCCCTCATTAATATCCCTCCCAACTTTGTGTTTTAGCTATCAATACCTAGCCTGCTCTACTCTGGCTTCTCTCCAGAAAGAATTATTACTAAAGCTACTAATTACTTGAAGCAATTATTTTGATATGGAAACAGTCTAAATATGATACCAAAGGCAGAACTGTAAAGAAAAGGATTGATAAATTTGCTCATATCACAATAAACTTTTATGTCTTTAAATAAAATTGAAAGGCACATTGCATGTGTGGGAAAAGCTACATTTTTGATAAATGAGTTAAAATAGCTTTATTACTTAAGGGAACTTTTGCAAATTAATAAAAGACTATCAAGTAGAAAATGGACAAAAATATGAGTGAATCATTCGGAGAGAAGAAATACAAACAATAAATATGAAAAAAAATGGAAGCTCACTAGAAGTAAAATAAATTCAAATAAAGATAAGAAACCATCTTTTCCCCTGCCCTCCCTCTCCCCCAATAATAATAGTGAATACAAAAGTACTGGCAACAGAACTCACTGTGTGCTAGCATTAAATATATTACTTGAATTAACTAAGCCTTCCAGGCATTCTGTAGGTATGGGGTTTTGTTACTCTTATTTTATAAGTGGTTAAAACACCAATTCAAACCCATGGTCAGTGTTGATTCTGACAAAATGAGTCACAAAAAAATGAGTAATGTGCTCAGATCACATAACACGTTTTTGAAGCTGGGATTTAATCCAGGTTTTTTAACTCTTAGATTTTAATTCTCTTTACTACTATTTATTGTCTCATAGGGAGCCATGGTGACATAGTGGCTACTAATTGGGCTGCTAACCACAAGGTCAGCAGTTCAAAACCACCAGTCACTCCATGGGAGAACGAGAAGACTTTCTACTCCCATAAAGAGTTACAGCCTTGGAAACCCACAGCGGTAGTTCTACCTTGTCTTCTAGGGTTGCTGTGAGTCAGATTCGACTCAATATTAGTGAGTTTGGTTTTATTTATTGCCTCTCAAAGATTTTAATAAAGTATAAACACAAGAAACCCACTGTCATTGAATCAATTCCAATTCATAGTGGTGCTGTGAGATAGCCTAGTGCTGACTGCCCCTTTGAGCTTCTGGAATTGTAAATCTTTACAAAAGCCGACAGCCTCGTTTTTTCTCCTGCAGAGTGGTAGGTGGGTTTGAGTTACTGAAGTTGTTTGTTATTACTATCCCAGCACAACCTTCTTGAAGCATAGTTAGTGTTAATAAGGGTACATTTCTATAGAACAGCTAAACAACATGTTTGAAAAGCTTTAATGTGCATAGCCTTTGAACTTGGCTAAGGAAATTTCTTATAATTCTTATAATAAGAACATAAAAAACTTATACACACAGAAGCGTTTTTATCAAGGTTGGTTTGTAACAACACGGATTGTAAACTGTTTGCATGTCTAATAGAGGATTAGTTAGACAAGTTTTGGAAATAGTGTCAATTTAACTAGCATTCTTATAACAGTAAAGTAATACTAGCTACTAATTAACTCATGTAAGAAATAGTTTGTCATTCTATATATGCAATGAGTACACAGTACTCATTCTTCTTATTAAAAAAAGCCTTCTTATAAAATTGACTTGACACTAATTTACATATTTTTAGCTGGAATTAGATTACATGATGAAACTTGATAAAGCTTAACTTTCAGTAAATATTTTTAAAAAGTTAGCCGATTACTAAGCAATTAGAATTTGAGTTAAACATATTAATTCTATTATAACATCACTATAGAAGAAATACTTTGTTATATTTTTATGTCTAGCACATCTGTAAGGATGCCTTAAAATAAGAACCATGGAGAAGTATGTTAAACAACAAAAGATTGGAGAAGGTTCCTTTGGAAAAGCCATTCTTGTTAAATCTAAAGAAGATGGAAGACAGTATGTTATCAAGGAAATTAACATCTCAAGAGTAAGTTTTTATTCTTTTTTACAAAATATACTTTCTTCTGTGATTTTTAATTTTCCTCATCATTACACTGAGATGTATTGATTTGGATTTCTAGTTTGTTATCTAAGTCTGGTTACAATAGGGTTAATTGTTTAAAACAAACAAACAAACAAACATCAGACTGTGTTACATAAAGTGAAAGATCACCATAATCTCAGAGAGACCCACTAATTTCAGATATTTGCTATGGTATATGCTTGTGTGTATTTATTTTCAATAATGCAATACAGTTCTGTAACTTAATCTCAGGAAATTGTAGAATGTTTATACATATAGATTCAACTCAGTATTTAGTTTCTTGTTTTAGTTTGGTGTTTGGATGTATTTACTGGTATCATTACTGACTTAACCATTTCCTTATTAATGGATCTTTGAGTTGCTTACTGATAGTGTAATATCTTTTTCCTGCCACTTAAGATGTCCAGTAAAGAAAAAGAAGAATCAAGGAGAGAAGTTGCAGTGTTGGCAAACATGAAGCATCCAAATATTGTCCAGTATAGAGAATCATTTGAAGGTCAGACAAATTTTGCAAAAGAGATTAAAAGATGTTTTAATCCTTAAGCTGGTTATATGGTATGAATATATTCTCAGGAAGAAAAGAATATCATTTTTGCTTCAGTGGGGTTTTGAGCGTGATTCTAGGATCATACATCAAACTATCCCCATGTAGTTTAAGATTAATGTAATTTAATTTGGTGATTTTATATCTTTGGATATAGTCCCTAATTCTGCCATAGCGGAAAAGCTTCTTATTTTTATACCAGATAGCCCACTGGGTAGCTTTAAGCTTCTCATAGAACTTTTGAGAACTCTAAAACAAATAGTTACTCACTGGCTGATTTAAAATAATCGATGTGAATTTTAAAATTGATCAGTTTTAAAGAATATGAACCTTGACACTATTTTTAATGTCTTCTATGAAAGATGAAGCTATTAGTGAATGTCTATTTTCTCCTTACTGATTTTTATTACTCTAAATATGATCAAAATAACATTTATTTATGTGTTGTTCTGTAAGCATAACTTTTATAATTGGTTAGCCTTGATTCTACATTTGCTGTTTTTCGAGGCCCATGAGCTGATTTCTGACTCATAGTGGCCCCATGTGACAAAGTAGGACTTCCCCATAGAATTTTCTTAGGTATAAATTAAAAAAAACAAACTTTTATTGGGTGCTCTTAAATCTCTTATCACAAT